GAGATTTACCGCTGATTACAGAACCAGCTTTCTGACAAGATGTGCGTTCAATATCGCATGCGATTTATCGTGCAGCCCTAGTCTATACCTTGTGGTAATGGTAAAATCAAGATTTGGTGGCCAACATTGCATCCTTTTGGATTTAGTCTGTCATTAGTTGCTGTGGGACACATTTTAGCAAATCTACCATTATATTCCATTCGTTGACTACTGGTGCATAACATTTTTAGGCAATAGTCATTATGTTTCAAGAGCTTGGTTGCTGTGCAAAGACAAAAATCCAGCACTGACAATCAATGGAATAAACAAACACACTATCGGTAAGGGGTACACATATTTATGCTAGCGCCCACTTACCTGGTTTTAAGCAAATCAGTCACGACTACTAGAAGAATGTTACGTAACCTACTTGATGTTCATGCGCCAGGCTGAGAAGGTTGTCAGATTTCTCCTACACCCTTGCGTGGTTTTGCAATGGTTGACACCCCTAGGTGGTTATGCACAATTATCCTCCATCAATTCCCAAAATACAAGCAGGCATGTTGTTTTGGAAGCAATCTAGCTTTAATATCATATCTCCAATAATAGAGCCATGATCTCAATTTACCTGTTCTACCCTACATCTAGCTGTACTTTAGCCCAGACGGGGGCACAGACTGAGTGCAGGGCACAACAGAGAATCAGACAAATAATTTTAATTCAATCTCCCCAGAGGAACAGGGATTTCATGGCAGATTGGTCCTGTAAAGTATTTACCAACTCTCGAGTTAATATGTTGACACATCTATGGACTGAAGCTTCAGTGCTCTGCAGCATTGAAAAGGCTATGTAAACAAGCTCAAGGATTCCATGAATACTGCAAGGCAGATTAATGTGTTTCTTTGTACACTGCTTTAAGAAAGTAGGAGGACTCATGGTGTCAAAAAAGCAGGAAATCAGTTTCTGGTGATTTATTTCTGATGAAATTTGCATAGGATGCCACAAAAAAGTGAAGTGAAAGAACATCATCACCTAAGTCTTTAGTAGGCAAGCTGGATACAGTCGACTATCTATGGGTAATGGAGTGTGGGTTTCCATTCCTGATTACATGCAGGAGGAAAACAGAAACAAGACCATGCTTTTACAGGGTTATCAGTCATGAGTTATGTTAAATGTTGGTTAAATGGTTCTATTTAGTTCTGTTTTGTGCTATTTATGTTATGTTTTACATCATGTTATGTTATGGTTCTATTTTGTTCTGTTTTATTTATTTCCTCTGCTATTTAATATGTTATGTCATGTTAAGGTTATATCCTGTTCCGATTTGTGCTGTTTATTCTGTTCTGTTATGGTTCTATCTTGTTCTTTTTTATTTGTTTGTTCTGTTTTGTGTTATTATTTTATGTTATGGTTCGGTTTTGTTTGTTGTTTATTTGTTCTATTTTGTACAGTCTATTTTGTTCTGTTCAATGACATTCTCCTCTCCTAATTTCGTTGTTTGTTTTATTCTATTCTATTCTCATTTTTCTCATTCTTGTTATATTCTGTGTTGTCTTATTCTTATTTATAATGTCTTTATATTATTGTCTGATTTTTTTATATTTTTATATATTCTATTCTATTCTACAGTATAATTTTTCTGTAATTTTATTTATTCGATTTTGGAATTTATTCTGTTCTGTTACATTCTGTTTCTTATTTTGGTTTCTATTCTATTCTATTCTCATTTTCATTATTCTCTTCTGATGTTTTCTGTGTTGTTTTTTATTCTTATTTATAATTTCTTTATTCTATTCTATTCTCATTTTCATTATTCTCTTCTGGTGTATTGTGTTTTTTTTATTCTTATTTATAACGTCTTCAAATTATTTTCTGATATGTTCTATTTTGATCTATTCAGTTCTACAGTATAATTGTGTGCTATGTTCTTTTTTTATTCCTTTTGGAATGTATTCTGTTCTATGCCATTCTGTTTCTTCTTTTGCTTTCTATTCTATTCTTATTTTCATCATCCTCTTCTGATGTTTTGTTTGTCTGTGTTGTTTTTTATTCTTATAATGTCTATATTCTTCTCTTCTCTTCTCTTCTCTTCTCTTCTCTTCTCTTCT